CATTTATAAACAAAATTATTTTTATATATATATAATTCAGAATGTAAAAAAACAAGCAGGAACGAACTATATGCATATCCTATATTGGATTTTAACATCCAAATGTGTAAATCGCGGCAGCAGCTTCAGGTTGGTCAACATGACATCATGACTTTTGCGTAAACATACACGCCACTTTCGAGTCAGGTGGTGTGTTATCTCTACGCATTTTGAGCTATCCGCGTGTATGCGTGTATGTCTACGCCATTAACGTCCGCGTCATTCCGCGTGTCTGTACACGCCCGTCAAATCTCCAGTCATAAATGCCATTAACCCCAGTGACGGTTAGGTTTAGGGACGGGGTTGAGGTAAGTCATATATTTATATAACGTTAAGTCAACGGCGTTCATAAACACGCTGAAAGGCGATTATGCGTCTTTATAACACGCCAAAAATGGAAATACAAATTGGCGTGGCATACACACGCTACTTCATGAGATCAGTCTGGGTTGGTAGTCCAAGACATTGTTGTCTGTACTTCCGGGGTTCTTCCCACCGGAGAAATCCCACTTTCGATTTCAAAATGGTGGCTGCGTGAAATCAGTGTAGGGAAGACCATTCTAACCAATGGAGCCAATGGAGTGTATTAGGGGGAACGGTTTAAAAACAATCACTATTTTGTAAGTGTATATATATATATATATATATATATATATATACTGTATATTGTATATTGTTATAAAAATGTAAAAAATAAAAATTTGCAGCAACGCGTCCATTATGTGTATGTATTTGCAGGAACATTCCATGACATTGGACTGACATCCGCAAATACACTTCTATTTTAGTTCCACTCTCTCACTCTTTCTGAGCTGTGCTGATATGTTTTTAATTTTCCAGCGCTCAGGACTCTTCAGGAGGTCTATGCAGATTTTCCTGCTTCTCTGCTGACGTTGTAAAACCTGGCCAACACCTCCGCACCTATCAGCATCCCTGCAGCCCTCTCATCAATGCCAGTTCCAGCACCCGCAAATAATTTATCAGCATTTAAATGCCACTGATAATATGCACACGCTGCTCCCTCCGATCCCTTATAATTAAATATGATAAAATCCCACCACACCAGGTAAATAATAATAATCATTATTATCATTGCCATTATAATGCTTTATTGGAGTAATTTGAATAACTTGGATAAGGAATGCTGGTGGGGAGGGAATGCTGGCCAAGCAGGAACGTTATATGCGGAGCTAGTTCTTAGTCAAGGTCCTATTCCATCCTGTCAAACTCTAAAAGAGCAAGTGAGATGGAGAGAGAGAGAGAGAGAGAGAGAAAGAAAGAGGGGGAGAAGGGGAAAAAGGAGCAACGGTCCGCCAGCTAGAAGGGATTACTGTGACGGCCATTTGCATATCAAGAATTTTAAGCAGAGAGGAAAATATCAAACCCTCCAGCCAGCAAGGTCATTTTGAAGATAATTTTTTTTCTTCATAATTTATTTTGCATATCATGCAGCAGGACACGTTATAGATTAAAAAGCTGCTTTGCCATATCAACCCATTCCTGACACTTCTGCCTCACCACTGCCTATCAATTCATTCAACAGAACCCCACCCTGAAAATATTCTATAAAGATACAGAAGCAATTAACAAATAACAAGCAAGAATTTTACACGGACGTTACGTATGGATGCTTTAATGGACGGATAGACCACCACCCGTGCAAATTAAAACGTGGAAGGTGTCCAAATGCGACATGCGCTATCCCTTGACGATATGGTGAAATTTACAACAATAATAATACACATATTTTTGAGTGAAAGGTGTATAATACGCTAAAAGGCTCATATACATTAGCTTTTGTGTTCATTTTAAGACAGATTTCAAAGTAAATCGTTCCCAGTGTAAAATCACACACAGTAAGATGTGAGTTTTACAGCTTCGAAACTGATAAGGAATATATAAATAAGCATACTTGTTTATTTATGGCCCATGTTCTTTCTATCTCTTTATCTATGAGTTTTGTGTATGCGTATACAATAAAGCTTTATACAAACTGATAAGAATGACATTGGATGATAATCTGCCAGCTGAGAACTTTAGGAAACATTAGGTCAATATATGAAAGGTCGAAGATCGAAAACGAGAAATTGTCAGTACAGAATGACAAAACACTACATAATGACTGAAAAATAAGCAGAAATCGCCCACAAAGAAAGAGTAAAACAGGACTGACATCATCAGAAAAAGCCCAGTCCTCTCTAAAAGTCGTTAGCCTGGTGATTAACACCAGAACTCTTCTAATGGCAACCATGGAAAAAATTTTTTACCACAGAACTGAACATCAGCAGAAAAAGAGGCAACATACACCAAAATGAACGCAAGGATAATCACCCTGCGACTCCAGTCCTGATGCTGAGGGGCCAAAACAACAAGAAACAAGGAAGAAGTAAAAGTCTACATTCTGCAGGGGGGTGTTAGTGGGGATGGAGAGACCAGTGTTGGGATGTGGGGTGGTGTGTGAGGGGGGTCATGATGATAAGGGAAAAATTCAGACCGGTCAAAGTTTCCCTTTTGCCAATCGTGCTCCTGATAAAGGCAGCGCCTGCTCCAGTACTGATAGAAAGCGTATCTCTCTCCTGGTCCCCCTTCTTTATTTCTCTCTCTCTATCTCTCTCTCTCTCTCTCTCTCTCTCTCTCTTGCTCTTTCTCCCCCCTCTTCCTCTCTTCCTCATTCTCCTGGCAGTTAGTTTGTGAAGGGAGGGGGGGGGAGGCCTATCGCAATCACATCGCCAGCGCTGTCATCAAGCGGCAACCGCACAGCAATTAATATCACTCCAATTACTGTTAAAAGGACAGGCTGGAACAGGACGATAATAAACACATCCTTGACGTGAAAAATTAAAACACACACATGCACACGAGGAGACACACATATTTAGGCGATTTCTAAATATTCCGAGATAAAGAAAATGCCTTGCATATTGAATCATGTCATACTCTACTAGATCCCCACTATCGCTATAAGCTGTACTGCTCAGCTGTGTGGTCCTGAGAGAAAAAGATGGAGAAAAACGATAGAAAATGGCTTATTGCGCTATCCGGGCCAATATTAAAGACTACTAATTTGATTTTACAGTCAGTTCTTAGGATGTTTTCAATTTTATGCAACCAGTTTGAAGGCAAGAAAACGAGACAAAAACACCTTAGAGGTTGATGAATACTTTTGAGTCTTTGATTTTGATTGATGGAAGTTCTCTCTCTGCTAAAAAAAAACATTTAAATTGGCCTAAACTAAGCTTTAATGTGCTTTTATCCGGTTTACTATTTGAAAGAGGGCCAAAACAGCAAGAGACCAGCTAAGACCAGCATATCAGCTTAGGCTGGTCAAAGATGTTTGTTAGTTTTTTTCCAGCAGGAATGGAAGTGGTTCTCAACTCGTTTTGCTTTAGGACCCAATTTGAATATGAAGTGGCAACCCAATAGGTGGTTTGCAGTCACGTGATTGTGTTGACGCGCGGAATGCAGATGGAGGGCAAGGAGTGAAGAGCGCAATGGACGAGATGGAGGAAAATCCGTACTGTACGACTTTGACGCTATTACAAGAGACATATATAAACAGAAAACCGAAACATATGTTGGACGTGATCCTTGCGTTATGAAGAGGACCGATTTTCAACTGAATTGAGAGATTTGCCTGCCATCGAGGCTGTAGATATCAGCAACTAACTCGTCTTACAGACATACTTTGACTTTACAAAGTTCGGAAAACTGGTATGTTACACAAACAGCCACATAAGTGTATTTAAACACCTGAATAATGTAATTATAAGCCACATAAATAATGTATTAACTCACATTTGACGAAGTGATCACTGCACACACACAGAGGCATTTTCCCATTCGGCTCCTCCCGACCGCAGACGTAGGTTTGCAAGGCATTTTTCTGTCAATTTCTTGTATTTTCCTCCCTTATGAACAACAACTTTTGGCACACGATAAAAACTCCTCGTGGTTTGATCGATTTGAGCAACCATAAACGACGCAAAACATAGGCATTTTGAGTGTGTTATAGTGCTTCCTAACTATAGAAAATCACTTCCTGCCCTCCATCTGCGTTTCGCGCCATGGCAACGCAGTGGCGTGACGTCACGTGAAAACAAGCTATAGGGGACCAAAACTATTTATCATTAACAACTAAATAAAAATGCCCTTGAATTCAAACATTTAGCCAAGTTATTAATAACTTATCAAACGTGAAATAGCATTCTGAAATATGCATTTATTATACAACTTTATTTATTATATTATAAATCATCATAATTATTATATATTATAGAACTTAATATTTATCATATAAATACAGCACAATTTTTAATATTTACTACATGTATGTCAAGTTTAACTATTGAAATTGACGGATTAACCTGCATGTTCTCAGCTCCTTTGTACCACATATAACCAACAACATAAAATGATCAATGGTAAAAATGCTTATGAATTAATTTGCACTAGTTATATTACTTCAAATCAGGGCCGGCTGCCTGAGAGAGACAAGTCCCAACTCTCAGAGAGAATATAAGAACATTTCTGAGACATTGTGTGGAGTTTTCTAAGCTACATGACAACTTTGTGATTTGACCCTGGAGTTAAAGCATTGTTTAATGAGGCTCCATGGGATACAGATTTGAACGTTTATCTGAATTCTCAGACATGCCACAAGTGTGATGTCACAGGGTTGTTGTGGACCACTGTATCACTGAGAAAAAATGTGACAAAGCATCGACAAGTGTACAGTCGTTTCCCCACGCAAAGTGGTATGAGAATGACAGTGCTTTCTCACAAATTTATGGCCAGATCAGACTGAATCATGTCTGGTTTGAATCCGTATCTTGATAAAGTCATGGCCTATATTGTTTCATGGCTGCCAAGTTGACAGTTTGACTACGGCTGGCCCTTCCTGAGGAGCCAGTGACTCATGTATCAGTAAAACACTCCTGAAAGAGGGACAGATAGAGACTGACCTGGGCCGTTCCACTGGGGTTCCCCTTCCCCTTCTGCCTCTTCCTCCTCTTCATCTTCTGTGCAGCGTTTCAGTCCTTTCTCATCTTCCTCACCCTCATCCGGCACCGCCAGGGACTCGTGCGTTCTTGGCTCTGTGTCAAAACAAGTCGATGACAAGGAATTAATACTCAAAAATCACACACATTCTGCATCATTACTCATCATTACTCATCTTCAGTGTCACATTTTAATATTCTGATTTGCTGCTCAAGGAACATTTCTTTTTTATAATCAATGTTGGCATAGTTGAACCATTTTTTTGATGAACAGAACATTTAAAAGGGCAGCATTTATTTGAAAAATAACTATTTTAAACAATTATGAATGCATCATTACAAAGAAGCATTTTTTTTTAAAGGGATACTCCACTTTTTTGGAAATACGCTCATTTTACCACTCCCCCAGAGTTAAACGGTTGGCTTTTACCGTTTTTGAATGTATTCAGCCGATTTTTTGATATTTAGAAGAATATCAGTAACCAGACAGTTTCTGGTCTCATTGACTTCCATAGTATATTTTTTTCCTACTATGGAAGTCAATGAGACCAGAAACTGTCTGGTTACTGATATTCTTCTAAATAGCAGAAAATCGGCTGAATGGATTTGAAAAACGGTAAAACTCTACAATTTAACTCTGGGGGAGTTGTAAAATGAGCCTATTTCCAAAAAAAGTGGAGTATCCCTTTAAAAGTTACTTTTGTACAATAGAGTATTTTTACATAATATAAGATGAAATAATCAATTGATCATTTTTGATTTTATTTACAATATTAACTTGCATTTCGCACATGATGGTTACATTGAATCCTGAGTCCCATGTTTAATTCTTAATGTTCTCCCATTCTCTTTAACAAACGTGATGGTCTCGCACTGATGATCAAAAGTGGTCAACAGAGAGGCCTGTGTGATCCAGCAACACGACATTTTAGGATAAACCCGACCCATACGCTTTTGATTTACCGAGCGAAAATCGGAAACCCCAGCCAACAGACGGCCAGCGTCTTCCCTTTATTAAGGCCGATCTTTTTCATCAGTGTGAAAGACAGAGTACGGATCTCCCAATGATTTCTAATTCTCTTTGATCACCTTGCTGATAGCGGTCTCTCTTTCGGTTGGTTGAGTGCCAGTGTAACATGTATGAGTAAATTGACATGACTTCTTGTCCTCTCCCCTTCCCCAACTCCCTCCCCTTCACCCCACCTCGATTACAGCTCATCTGTGGTGCACAAAGGGCATGTTTACCCTTGCATTCCCGTGGCGATAAACAGCGATAGCTGCCGATCGATACGGGCCATAAATGTGACGTGGTCAGAGCATGTGTTATTAATGCAACAGGTTGGAGATTAGATCTTCATCATCAAATAAATCACACACGCACACGCCCCGACAATTCCACCCAGGCCCAACCGCCATTCTCAGCCCGTCCCAGCGCATGCCGTCCCATGACGCGCCTCCCTCCCTGCCTAAGAAGCCCTATTATTTTCAGCGATAAATCACATTGAATGGCACATTGATTTTATCCTGCAGCGCTCAGCGTGGGGAGAGGAGCTGGAGCCACAGTTATTGCATTTAATATTATCAATATAATCTCCCATATCATCTGAGCAGAGACGACAGGTATCAGGAAAAAAGAGGGCGGGGTGGATGGGTGCTGCCACCATACTGGCTCCACGGCAGTCTCCTTAGTCTACCAGCACATGCAAACACGCATACTGACGCACACACACTCCGTCGCCAACCCAACAACCTCCTTTCATCTGATAACAGCAACTTCCCTTGTCACACCTGGAGGGCAAAGTCACCCAACTTGCTCCATTCTTCCTGGCCGGCCTCATTTTTTAGAGTCAATTTTCTCTAAGTTCTCTCTCCCAAACAGATCATCATGGCAGGGTCAAGTTCTTTTCTTGAAAGGCTCAACATCTCCAACATGGCACCCAAAGTGGGGCTAGCTGGTACTACAGGCTAAGATGCCTTGGTGAAACCATAAGTCAGATCAAGCCCACGATCAGACCTCCTCACCGGGTTTGAGATAACAAAGGTGTTCTGGAACACAGAGCCATCTTTGCTTTTCTGCTGATATGGATGACGACTTCACCATCAGGTCTTCCTTCGGATCACTTCAGACTGACCCTTTCACATGGAAACCAGCGGCCGCTTTGCCATTAATGATTATTAAAAGGAGGTATTTTCATTTATATTTTTTTTTTACAGGTGGTTATCGACACTGTGTGTCCTGTGACTGGTTGAGTGTTTTTCTGAAGCAGTTATCAGTTGGTTATCGCCTGTCTTTTTCTCTCCCAGATGGTGGATAAGGGAGCTTGCCTTTATTAGCCACTGCTGGCCTGATAAAGACCTGGTATTGATCGCAGGTTGAAAGAGCAGGTTCGTCAAACACGACTGATTTACAGAGGCTGATAATAGCAGCACCGGGCAACAGTGGAGCCCCGAGGGGTGGGGGCGAGATTGATAGAGGGAAAAAAGAGCTAAAGAAACACGTTAATGTGGACCCACTTTTCACACCGGAAAATAGGAGGATGCCAAACATCACCTCGAATGCAAACTTGCGAATGGCACATACTTGCATGTCTAAACGCACACACAAACAAAACAGGACAATCTCTAAACTAGTCACGATTAGCACCTGACAGAATTTCCATGCATTTATCAAAAGCAGCCAACGAACGAGCTCTTATCTCCTCAGTCCCCAATTTCACAAGAACAGGAATTTTTCAGATTAAAAAAAAAGAGGAAAAACAGAAATCTCAACTAAGAATGTGACTTAAATATCTTCCGGCTGGAAAACCAGACAGAAAGTGCAACAAGGCAACCATTATACATAACAAAAAAATACATAACTTGTTTATTTAAGTCTATAAAATATATTGTCTAACACTTCCAGGAAGTAAACGAGGTATTAAAAAAAATCTAATCTTAAATTATGATGAACTCTCTTCAGTGAAAACTCATTGTATCTCATTCAGCAAGTGTTTCCTTATTTCATAAAGTAATAGTTCTACATGCACTCTTTTGTCATTTCCAAACAGGTTGGCGTTATTTTTTTTCCAAAAAACATAAAAACTGAATTTAAGAATATTCACATAGCTTTATCATACAATGACAGGTCATAGTGACCACATCAATAAAAATAGATTTATATATAATATATATTATATATATAAATATTTTATATATAAATAATATTTTTTTCTTAAATATACATGCATGTGTGTGTATTTATATATATATACAAAAAATAATTATACACAGTGCACCCACATATATTATGTAAACACAAACTTTTATTTGGGATGCGATTAATCGCGATTAATCATTTGACAGCCCTAATATATATGTGTATATTATATATATATATATATACACACACACACACACACACACACACACACACACACATATATATATATATATATATATACACACACACATATATGCATAAAGTTGGGTTTTCAGAGAAAAATGTCAGTCAATACTTCAAACAATACTTTAAACAACCATAAATGTATGGTTGTTTAAACTTTGTTTAAACTTTAGGTTGTCTAAACCTTAAAATTTATGCATATATATATATATATATATATATATATATATGCATAAAGTTGGATTTTCTGAGAAAAGATTTCAGTCTATACTTTAAACAATTTATCACATGGCTCCAGAAGTTCATACATTTATGGTTCTTTGATTGTTTTTGTTTTTTTGGGTCCTTTTTGGAGCTTGATGTGAATGTTCTGTAAAATATGATTATAAAAATCTCATTTTTTGTTCCACCCAAAAAAATTGCAAATAGTTTAGAATGACACATGAGTGAATTTCAACTATCCATTAAAGACATATGGCAAAAGTAAGCTGTTATACGAAATCCAGAGTGAGATGTCTAAAATTGTTATCAATAGGCATCAGCGTCAAAACGGTTTCATCAAAAAACAACACAGGTTATGTTAGAGGAACATTCGGGTGGTTTTGACACTTTTCGTATGAAAGCATGCGTCGGTTCACCTTCGTTGTAAAGTGGTGTAAATGAAGGTGGACTTGAACCGTCACACTCTGCAGAGTCCTCCTGGTCTGAAGCTCCGCCCTCCTCTCCTGACATGCTTACATCATCAGACGGATCCTCACCTCCATTAAGATCCCCAATAGAGCCTGCAGAGAAAAAGAGAGAGAGAGCGGTCATAAAAAGAATGAGCAATACAAAATAAAAGTCATCTTTCACTGAAAGGCCTTTGAAAAGATATCATATCATGCCAAAGCCTCAGTTGAGAGGCTTTAGATAATGTGAATATACCCTGTTAATATCTTCAAGGAAGTAGGGTGTCCTGTAAATAAAAAGTGATAAAGTACATGATTAAGAAAGAAAATTCTGATTCATTTCAAACCGTCTTGCTACAAGCCTTTTACAGTTTTAATTGGTTGGAAATCCCAGAGCTTCAGACCACAAAGAAGTAAATGAACAACGGTGTGTGTTGTATCACTTAGCCAGGGTGATTAACTCATTTGGATAACTCAATACATTCCCAGTTGGCAGACGTTTGAACAAAACCTTACACTTTTCAACCATGATGAGATAACCAACCACTGGTGTTTAAAAATACCTATTTATTTAGTTGATATAAGAAAATAAAAATAAAAAAATTCCAGAAGCAGTAGTAGTAAAACTCATTTTTGACATAAAGCCAGTTATAAATGATAATATTCTCAGAGATCATGTTCATTGTATGGCTTGTTCCACTAAAATAAATGAATGCAATACGTGCCAGACAAAGGCTTCTGTAGTGGACGCCACGGCGGTCTGCATGTTAATTCAACCTTCGTCGACCGTATTGTTATTCTAATGAGGTTTAAGATGAGCAAAACTACAGTTTTCACATAAATTCCTCAAACACATTTTCACTATGCTGCTACACTCATCTAGGACACCCACTATTTTATGCATCTGCATCTAAGCAAAATTACCAGGGGTTGGAAAATCGAATTTTACCACAGGTTTTGGTAAATTAATTTTCATTAAGTTGTGATGAACAGAGAGGGGATTGTTAGGAGCTAAAGCCGTGACTGGAGGCGTATATATTTACACTTCCTAGAACAAAGAGGCCTATAATCTATACAAAGCACACAACAATACCCGTGAATAAAGAGCCTTGTAGAAAAAGGCAAAGGCAATTTTTCTAATTCTGTTAATTTCACTTCCAAAGCAATTAAAACGAGGCGGAGATAATGCTTGGAAACAATCGCTCCCTGACAAAGTGTTTCTGTCTTTGTAAATGAAACATCTTTAGGCTAATTTCGACTTCCACGCCTGCATGGTTCACTGTAATTTCAGATAAAATTAACACACTTAGATTTAGACCTTAGTAATAAAGGACGCGAGAGAGAAAAGTAAAAAAAGATCGATCCCATACGCCATATTTTTAGAATGTAGTCTGGGCATTGCTAGATCTAATTTTCTATATCTGTGGCGACATTTTCATACAATTAATTTTCCTTTAATCATAATTGTACAAAGGGGCCCCTCTGTTTAAAATTCCAATTACATTTCGTGTTTAAATGTAAGTCTGAATTATGATTTTCTTTCCTATTACAGCTCTGGTTAAATGAATAAATCGCCGCATCACTGCTTACAGACATCAAATGGTGCGGAAAAAAGTCTCTGCTCTCCCACTTGATCTTATACAAGGAATAATGTGCATTTTTCACAGAACCGACGACAGAAAAAGGGTTGTCTGCATTCAGAATGACAGCAGACAACTTTGGTTGCCATACATTTTATGAAAAAATAAGGGGAAAAATCTAGCACTCAAGAGCATTAACAGGTATAAAAGTGCTTTTTGATGTATAAATCGGATTGAAATATAACTTAAACCTGTAAATTTATAAGAAAAAATAAAATAGGATTTAAAACAAATGACGTCAAATATAAAATACAATTTTATTGTTCAAATGACAAAAATGACAACTTTTCCCAATCCACGTTTAAGGACTAAAACGTCAATCGCAAAAGCCCCTATTTTGTCTATTATGCAAAGCAAAGAAGATCAACTGAAAGAAATACACTTTTGAGTTCTAGCTGGCACTCGAACAGACAGAACAAAGTGAGAAAGCTGATGAAGGCGGAGGAGATAGGGCTTTATTAAGCAGCCCCCGTCCACATCAAACCAGTGTGCTTAGCGGCAGTGATTAAACCAAGAGACAACACATCAAACCTGAGCCCTGATTAAACGAACAAACTTCCTCACCATCACGTTAATCACCACATTACCAAACACAGTGGAAAAAAAAAGAACACTGCTTGTATCGGGAAATCAGCGACTTGTGAAGAAAGATACTTCGAGGAGAACACTGAGCCTTTGGTGAGCGTCTACGGGTGTGTGCGTGCCACCGTTCGAGGAAGAACTGCGGTACCTGCAGTACTTATAATTTCAAGCACAAGTGGCTACACACATTGATCAGAGCCAAGGGCATTAACACGCTCTTAGTAATTAGATGGATCCAAGGGTTAGAGCGGGTCCCGGGCACTTAAAAGCACAGCAACACACATAAATCAAAAGGAGACTTCAAGTCCCCCTGTATCAATCATTTTTTCACTTAAAACTCATCTTTGATCACCAAAATGACATATTTTAAAAAAACAATTCCTGTGAAACAATTTGATTCATGCCTTAAAACAGTTTGAATGTAACTCTACACCCTTCTTTCATTTAGGCCCCGTCCACACTACTGCGTTTTCGTTAAAAAAACGGAGAATTAAAACAAATACGATCTCCGTCCACACCAGCGTTTTATCTGCGTATTAGAATTAACCTCTGTCCACATTAAAACGACTGAAAACACGGATCACGTGACCATTCACCAACACTAGGCCCGTGCGTGCTGGTGTGAAGAAGAAAGTAACGTTAGCTATCCCTGCAAAGATTAGAAATATCGAAGACCAGAGATTTCTTTTCATGGACCGACGACAAGGTTGTTTTTGTATGTTTTCTTACGGGGACGGGTCCTGTGATGGGTGGCTGACGAATCAGGGGAAGGACACGTCACGACTGATGACACACAATCATAGAGCCGAGCGTGAGCCTCTGCGTCATCTTTTCTAAAGTCCTCCGATTTGTCCCGTCTTCGCTAAAACGCCCTCCGGAGATTCAAAACGCAAAACGGAGCTGCAGCGTTTCTAAACTTCTCCGTTTTAGGCTAAACCATTCTGAAGAGAAAATGCAAAAGTGGCGCTGCGTTATCACATTTTATTCTGCGTTCAGACGAGCGTTTTGGGTGGGAAATCCGCGTGCATATGGTGACGCAAAAGTGTGTGAAATTCAATGTAGTATGCACTCCAGGCGGCTAGGTTGCGCTGTGGAGCACTGCCACACAACAACACCAAATCCGCACGCCTGCGTACAACCTTCACTGTCAAGCAGACTTGCGTTTTTAACGGTTTTTACCCTTTACACGGGAATGCGCCAGTGATGCGGGTGAAAAAAACGTAAAAATATTTTATCGGATGTGCCTTTCGTTTACATGGCGATGGCGTTTTGGGGGCTTAAAAACGAATTGTACGCAGGCGCGCGGACTTGGTGTTGTTGTGTGGCAGTGCTTCACATCGCCACCTAGCTGTCTGGAGAGCATACTACATTAAATTTCACACACTTTTGCGTCACCATATGCACACGGATTTCCTACCCAAAACGCTCGTCTAAACGCAGAATAAAAAGTGATAATGCAACGCCACTTTTGCGTTTTCTCTTCAGAATCGTTTCCGTGTAAACATAGCCTTAGTATGGTGGAATCACGAATATGTAAATGAGCCCTGTCTCCACTCAATCACACAAGCTCAGAGATCCACTTGGTCAACTTTACTGTAGTCACCTCTACACAATGGCAAGTGGATTAATTCAGAAATATATGTTTGATTTAGAAGAAGAAGAGGAAGAGTGAACTTGTATACACGTCGGTGTATCAGAATGGTAATGTACCGTTCTCTACAACGCCAGACACATTAGCCACATTAACGGAAATTAATATGATTAGCCTTTGGCTTGACAAAGCTATCAAACAGTATGTTAAACAAACAATGTTCCCATTTGCCATCTCAGTCATGCCTTTTAAAAATCATCATCAATCTTAGTAACACTTTGAACACCTCGAGCGTCAGTGGAGAAAGGCATATAATTCCTCATAACATCGTAATATACATAACTCATTTGCTATATTGCTGCTAAATGTACCAGATTTTTCATATCAACAGAAAAATATACCAGGATAACCTGGCTTCTCTCGCCTTGAGACTTCCCTGCTTTGCAGCAAAGTTAATGATATGCTAAAGCCCGCCCACACATTGACGTGATTAATTACAAGGTAGTTTGTGACGTAAGAAACACAAGCGATTTCAAACCGCGTCTTTTTCACTGCAGTTTTAAGGAGAAAAAACTCAGCAATTGCGCTGACGTATGAATTTGCACATGGTTTGTCTTAAAGCATATTTAAAAACACCCCATAGACATATAAACAATATTAAAAACTTGACGGGACTCGTGTCACCAGCGTCGCTGGAGTCGAAGATAAGCTGTGGGAGCCTCTGGGCTTGCACACCACTGGCAGGACCTTTGCGGACACACTGCCATACAGGAGTGGACTTTCACTTGCTTTGCCAAGACCGGCTCCATCTCGGTTTCTGCCAACAAACCATGTGGTGTGAAATGAGGTAGTGAATAGCACTCTTGTTTTCATTCAGTAAAACAAAGTAACTTCATCCACACAAGGCCAAAGAGTCTTGTCATTGACAAGACACCATTCACAATTAAACAGGCATTCGGTGTAATATTATTGATCATTTTACTAATTTAACATCTTCATTTCAGAGTTTCTAGGCCACACAACATCACCTGTTTGACAAGCTCATTTTAAAGCAATACATGTGCTTTAAAACATGGAATATTGTTCATTTTCACAGCTGTACAGTTGAAGGCCATAAAGCAATTTCAATGGATTTCTGTATTAAATTAAACAACAGAGATGTCACACGCTACATTCCATCTTTTTTTCCTTTTATTAAATCACGTATGGAGGACTTTTACTTTGTCAAATTGCAGGACTGTTTAAAAAGATCTATTAAAACTTGAGGGTGCGTAAATTATGACAAAATTTTCATTTTTGGG